AAATGTTCTGTTAAAAGATTATGATCCCCTCTGGATTGCAATGGGTTAGAATCAATTCTGTTTCTCTGTCAGCTTATTTTCAAAACCCTAGGACCTGTGGGCCAACTTCGCCCTAGTGCTACTCCACTGATGGCCACAAGCCTGGACCGTCGTAAACTCATCTCAAATTGTTCATAATAAAGGTTGTTAAAATTTATAACCCCCATCTAGTTTTTCCGTTGAACATATTTTTAGCGAATAAAGCACGGGTTCTCACTGTACAAGTTATTTGCAGCACAGAACTGGATTTTTACAGCTGTAGCCAGCTGTTCTCTGGACAGGCTGATTCTAGCGAAGCAGCCCTTTCATAGTCAACAATATTTTGTCATTAAGTTTGTACTAAAGACCAGAAATCAGTATCTCTAAACTCCAATACTAAACCATTACAAATTCAAAACTGCTCTACACACACAAGCGAAGAAACACGTGAGAATCCAAGTGAGATCCTTGCTTTGTGAGTCTTGAGGAGGGGCATCATGTGTTTGCTTACAGAGTGTTTGCTGCCTAATTAAGTAGTCTTAATGCAAGAAAATCTCCCATACAACCGCAGTGGGAGTTTTTCTGATGTAGAGATTATAAGGATTAGGCCACTAGTAGAGATAGCAGATAGGCAGAATTATGGATTGACAACCAAAAGGAATTTAACTTTTAAGGAAAAGAACTTTTAAGGAATGTAACTGCCTTTGAGGGTCAGAAACAGAAGCTAGCAAGTGCTGGAACATGAGCCATGCAAAAGCTATTTATTATTTCACTTCCAGCCCTTGGGCAAAAGATAAGAGATATTTAAAATTAAAAAAAAAAAAGCGGGGGTGTGGAAAAACCACCAAGGTAAGCAGCCTACAACAGAGCATATAAACAGACCCTTTTTTGCATATCTTCCACTGACACTCAAAGGACAGCGAAAACCAAATTCTTGGTTTTCAAACAACACTCAAAAACACAGCTGAGAAAAATTACATACCTCGCATAGAACATATGGTATTAGATCAGGGAACTCAGGTCAAGGGGAAGGAGAATTTCACACAGCAGAACCTTCACTGCAGTATCATGTCTGATTTTGATACAAACATCAATTACCTCCTAGATTGGAGGAAACATAATCCAAGGTTTTCAGAAGCATCATCTACTACTTCTCCTTGGAAATACCAAGACTGGGACAAAAATCCAAAAGAATCCAAACTCTTCACCTTAATGAGAAGAGGTTCACGCTCCCAAAAAAGCTTACTGGTGATGATGCTTTAGCGCATACAGCACATATGAGATTGCAGAGCCAAGTAAACAACCCTTCAGTAGAACTGGTAAACCATTCACACTGCACCTCAGCATAGCTAGAAATACAGGCAACAGTCTTCTACAAGAGGCCTCTGTGGATATTATAGGAGGCAGTGGCCATGCAGATACCACAGACACCCTCGTACCTCTGTTAAGCTTCCTCACAGTTCCTGTAAACTTAGCCTGGTGTGTACCACAATTACCGGTGGTGGCAATGATGGCAGCAGCAGCCCCTTGGCTGCTATGAGGAATGGTTATTTGGGTGGGGATCACGCATCACCTTTCCTGTCATGGGCACCAAAGATGTGGGAATCCCAGCTTTCAGGGTGCTCATGAAAAAGATACGGCTGACACAGAGTCTCGTTCAGAGCAGGCAGTTGTTGATACAGCGATAAAGAGGAGACACCAGTTGTTTGGAGGGACCTACCATACGAAGGATATTTGTTAGAGACAGGGCTATGCAGACTAGAAGGGAGAAGTAAGCCCCGAGGCTGACTGAGCAGTAGTGATGGATACACAGGAACAGCACAGGAAAAATGTGGAAATGCTGCACAACCGTGCCTCCAGCACACAGCGGAGAGCCAGGGCTCAGCAGGCAGCTCGTCTCCGGGGTGTTATGGAAGGTGCCGGGGCAGGAAGGAAGGAAGGCAAACAGGTGAACTATGCAAGGAAATTAGGTCAGTCCGGCTCGAGGGACATTATAGAATATAGGTATTTCTTTTCTTCTTAGTGATTCCATGCTCAAGGTATGATCACACAGATATGACTACAGATAAGAACACATGGGAAAAAATGACATTAGTAGTTTACACCTTTCTTCTCAGCAACACAGGTGATTGCCAGAGGGGTGGGGGAAAGGGGAGAATGTACTTGGCATGAGACAGGAATAAGAACCTAAAGAGAACTGAACAGAACAAGTCTTCTGAGAGCCAAGCCTAAATGCTGGGGATCAAACCTCTGAACCCTCCTCTGTAGCTATGGACACATACCAGCTTAGCCCAAACATATATAAAATTTTTTGCAAGAAAAAGAATACAACACCATTTCTGAAAGTAGTTTAGCTTCCCCTCTGGAGGCCATTTCCATCACCACTTTCTGCTGCCTATCTTTCAGCACTAATCCCGCCCATTTGTATGGAAACCGCCACAGCGCAATTTGCCTGGTGTGTCTTTATCCCGAGGTTCTGGTTCTTTCATTGCATCCATAGCCACAAACTATGGTTTTTAGTTGGCTTCCCCTGAGAACTTCTCTGTTTGCCCGTGCTAAACCATTTTGCAGTCTCCATCACGGCAGCATGTCCAGAGTATGATCAGAGAAAGGAAAATAAGTGGAAAAAATAATTTTGCCTCTTTCATACCCTTTTCCCTGCTCTCTTTATAGTGATATTAGCAAAGCTCCCATGCACATTGGGAACCTCCCCACTGACTTCAAGCACCTTTCAAGATATCAGTGGAAACCCTTAGCTACATGTTCCTTAAGTGAAGTTCTTTATTTTTCAGTAACTTGTGCAGATTGTTGTATGGACACGAAACGTGCTTGGGACTTCACAGCAGCAGGAGCAGTATAGCCACCAGGCCTAGGAAATGGACTTCAGCTGGCCTGAAGAGTGCCAGCTCAGAGGCCACGCACCAGTTCGTAGATGCCATTCTTTTTTGGTAAAGGAGGGCAGAAACTGCAGTCTTATCCCAACTGCTATAGAAAACTGGGAATAAAGTAACCCCTTTGCTCATAACATTACAAGCCATTACTTTATAAGGAAAAACAACTTCTGAGAGTGCATGGAGACCTTCCTGCCTACATCCAATTGGCTCTTTAGGAATGAGGCTCTGCTAAATATGTCTCTGGCTCCTTTTTATTTGGGGATTCCTTTCATCTTCATAGCATTAGCAGAATCTCCAAATGTTTTGGTTTGTCTGGCCTCAGGCCCTCTCCTCTATCTCATTGATAGGCTTTACACTTCCCCACCCGCCCTTTTGAGAAAGGCAGGAATAAATAAGCTTTAGGGAGCAGAAAGTCCCTCTAATAACCTGATTCATTGCAGCTGTCACACAGTATGCATCTGTAAAGCGTCAGATCAACCATAAGCTGTCAGACCCATAGCCTAGCTTTCTCTATGATTGTGAGGCTCTTGCACTGGTCTCTCTCTCTAACAACTAAGGCAAACCAGCTCTAAGAGAAAACAGCTCTAATCATTCTCAAATATGGCAGTTTTCAACCTACAAAGTTTGGAAAATAGTTTTGCCAGTGCTGTTCAAGAGCTGGAGGATACAGTGTTTGCCTCCTGGGCCTCTTGAGTGGGGTGATGAAGCATGTTAATTCACAACCTTCCTTCATCTTCTTGACAAGGTATCTTCCTCCACAGTAATGTGGTAAAGTTATCCCTCATTCAAAATCAAAGGAACGTATTCAAAGTAAAAATGAGCTAATGGCTCCCTCCCGGTCCTTCTTAGATAAATAAATAGAACATAAGAATGAGCCCCGCTGGGTTCGGCTGATATCCACCTAGCTCAGTATCCTGTCTCTGAGATTTCCTGATAGCAGACGCTTAGGAAAGAAATGGGACGCCTACAGTGATAATTTTCTTCCTATACACTTTCTGCTTCCTTATGTGCAGCATAAGGATTTCTTGAGACAGGAGTTTGTGCCTATATCTTCATGTGTAATAGATGCAGACAGATTTTTCCTCCATAAATTTGCCTAATTTAAACACATAGTTTCGGAGATAGAGTGCCCTCCGTGATTTTTTGTGGAAATAGGCTCTACATTTTATCTGCAAGGCAGCACCCATAGCTCACACTCCAGCTGGTGTAGACATGCCTAAAGTTAGAAAGAAAATATCAAATATATCAGAAGCACAGTCAAAGGAACACTGTCTTTATACAAGGAGCTGCAAATCCACCAGAGATCCTGGGTAAGCCCTCAGGCCACTGGCCAAGGCTGAGCTCTGCCCCACTGTGTGTAAACTCTTAGCAGCACCTCAGTAGCTGGTTCACAATTCATGCAGACGTATCTGTCCTTAATGACATTGTAGACAAGGCTTCACCATAATGTTACATTGGCACATCTCCTAAGAGCTAAGAGAGAACAGATTCCCCCAGACGATTATCAGAACCACTCCGGTGACATGCTATCTAAATTTGTCAAAATGTAAAGGAAATCTTCCCACCATATCACTGTGAAGAACAAGCCCTGTATTCCTGAGGAAGTCAGACCTACGTGGTGTGTGCGTGGGGCAGACAGAGCACGGGGGGTCCTTCCTCCACACTAACTTCCGAGCTCCCTAACCAACGTATTCCCAGACTGACAGCAACATGGAGACCAATTTCCCACCACATTTTTGGAAGTGGTTGCTCTGTTATTATCTCACCAAAAGAAAGGTTTCGAGGTGAGCTTGCACATTATGAGAAATCAGATCATTCCCATCAGAGAAATTTGCTGGAAGCAGGTTTCCTAAAGCTGTTACTTACAGATTAAACCTGAGGACTCTGCATGCCTAGTTATATCACACAGCTTCATAAGCTCAAGTGCCTGCCTGTATCAGCCAGTTTGGCTGACCCTCCAGCAAACAGCAAGGAAAAGGACCTCTACAGGGTAATTTCTTTCACTACCGGATTTAATAATTTTCTGTAGTGCCAGAGTTTCACTTTTTGCAACCAACACACAGCTTCTTTGCCCGTGGGCTCTGGACGATGACAAACTGCGGAGTCCCTCTCACCACAAATGTCAACAAGCAGGTACCTACCTCTCCAGATGGCCCAGCCCCGGTCTCCAGCCCCCTTCTCCTGGCACCTGGGCTTGGCGCACTCGGAGCAGTTAGGTGTCGCTGCTGGGCAGGACAAGGAGACATGGCCCTCCTGCAACTTCCTTGTCTTCTGTACGAGCCACTCAGCACAACCTATAAACAAACAACTCCCGAGAGCACTGCTGAACTCTTTTTTTAAACCCCCATGAGAACCACTGTATCACAGTGAAGGAATGAGCAATGGCAATAAACTGAAGAATGTACAAAAAATACAAGGGGAAATCTACAACCTATATGACTCAAGTGAACACATACTTTAGAAAAAAAAACGTAGGATAAAAAGGAAACGTACTTTTTGGAATTGGCATGCTATTATCTGGAAATATATGCTGTTCTATGGAATCGTCAAAAATAATGTGGCAAATGCAAACATAGCATTTTCTGTACCAGGAAAAAGTCAGATGTCAATTCAAAGGACTGCAAAACAGTTTGGGGTTTTCTATTTCAACTCCATTGCAGCGGGGTGCTAAAAGAGCCAGCAGTAAAGTTGCGCATGCACAGCGCAGCAGGTTTGGATAGCCTGCATCCATCCAGGTGTTCCAGAGAGCAGGCCAAAGTGCCTCCAGAACAATTAACACTTATTTTCATTAGTCCTTAAAATGCTTAAGGGGTTTTCCCAACACAGGAAGAAAGGCAGTTTAACAAACATTTCAAGCACGTAACGGCAAGAAGTAGCTAATTACAAACTTGCCAGATGAACACACCACTCTAAGTCGAACTATCACAGCTTCCAATATAGAATCCAAATAATAAAAACATAAAAGGAGATAATATAATAAATGCTGATGAATAAGGCTTTATAAAAATGACTTCTTGTCAAACTTTGAGAAATATTACAAACTTAGTTGTAAAAGCCCCCTAAATCCTTTTACTTTCTAAACCATGAAATAATTAAAAATAAGGCAAATGCAGAATCGACCTATGCAGAGTAGCACGAGAACCATCTAGCTGAAGTCTCACAGCACAGCAGCGCAAGGAAATCACTGCTGAGTGGGTGCGATTCTGTGGGACCTTCCCTACCCATCATTGGCTATGCACCTTAATGCCTTTATCAGTGATCTGAACAATAACATAAGTTACAGATAAATGTCACAGATAAAGTGTGTGTGTGTGTGTATGTGTTTTTATAACCTGCTACAATCTACATTATAAAACAGAGTCCTCCCCAGCAGAATCCTGTTTATAATATGAAGCCTTGAAGAAACTCTTTGCATCTCTGACCTCTGCAAAAGGATCCCTACCCCCATCCATCGCACTTTTGCTGACTGTCATCTTGGTTGATGAAAACAAGATGCAGACAAACACGCCCTGCAAAGTGGTGCCTAGCGCACCGCAGGTTGCAGGAGGGACAGGACTTCACTGGTGCTCTCCTCTGCCCTGTGTGCAGCGTCAACCTGCCTCTGTCATGCCTTCCTGCGCACCTCCTGGCTGCTGCTTGGGCCTGGAAGACCCTCCTGTTATCTGCTGTGGTGCTCCAGGAGACTGACAGCTGACGACGGTTGGTCACTTAGCCAGGAGGAACTTAGCACACAGCTATTACTCATGCTCTAGCACATTCAGTTTATAAACCTCGCCCCAAACAATGCTCGAGTCTCACAAGAAGACTGAAGCAGGCAGGATTTTTGCCTTTGCTTTGCAGATGCATCTTAGTTACGTAGGGTAGTTTCTTCTTCCTCTTTCTTACAGGCAGTCATAAGAACTATGGAAAAGTACAGATAACATGTTATTTTTGTTTAATAATTTGGTTGGTTTGCTGAAACTGTGCCAGCATTTTCCAGCCAAATGTAGGGGTTTTCTTCCTCTTCCACTAAATGTGTTTTACATGCCCACCTTTAACTATTTGCTCAAATTCCCTATCAGACCAAAGAACAATGTTTGGGTTCTTTTCCCCAAAAAACCCAATGTTTTGTTCTTTTCCTTTTATGACGTTGAGAGACTTAGACACACATTTCTGAAACAAACATAACCATCCTTCAGAAATAAGGAAAAACACAGAATTCTGCAAAGCTTCTGCTCATTCCAGCCCATTTCAAACCCGATTGTTGTACCACTGGCCTCGTGGGGGATGAAAGCTGTCAGGACTCAGGTCCCGAAACCAGGACAGCAAGTCAGTAACAGCGCTAAATAAAAGACAAGGTTTTGTGTATCTCTGCCTCAGAACTATGTTTTCTATCATGTTGTCAGTCCTGTAAGTACTTCCCAGGTTTCTCTTTCTTTCAGTTCCTTGCTAGTAACTTCTTGAATAGACGTAGTAGCTTCTTTCACTGCTGCAAAACACTGTTGCCCAAGGATCTTGAAAACACCTGGATAGTTTCCACATCAGGATACCAGAACTGCATACAACTCTTTCTGCTTCCTAATTACAGCCTGTTACTTACTGCATTGTATTTAGCTGTCTCTGGGAATTCATTTACAAGGTCAAATGCTCAGACCTCTTCAACATAATATAAATCATTCCTCTGCACTCTGACTAGTCAGCGTTACACAGCATGAACACATTGGTTAATAAAAGGAGAAAATTTTGCAATTAGCAGGTCTTCAGCATAAACATGACCTCCTTTCTGAATCGTATTTAAACAAAACAGTGTTGCTATAGTATTTTATAGCATTAAAAACTCAGTGCCACTTGCACTGCAAATGGCCAGGCCTTCTCAGAAAAATGGGCTGGGAGGAACAGGGGACAACCACACTTGGGAAAAAGGGCTAACATTGGTTTTCTTTTTTCCTGCTTACACAATACAAGCTACTGTTTTCATGAGGGCTAACCCTTCCCTATTACCTTGATTTTAATAATTTGTAGTTATTCTTCTGTAGACTCATTTTTGTCAGATCCTGTTTTTCAGGTAGGCCCCCTGAAAAGAGTTTATGTGGGTTTTGTACCATGTCACTCAGGAATAGTGGAACAGTAGCTGGGAGAGCAAGGAACAAGCTCCACGTAGCAACAGCCCTTCACTGCACCAAGCCGAGATGCTCCAGGATCTGCCATGCAGCAAGTGCAGGGCAGAGCGGGCTGCCCCTTTGGGGGGCTGATGGAGAAGGGGCTGGCAGCCAGCCCTGCCACCCAGAGGGAGGGAAGTCCCCAGTTACTGATATAACGTATCTTTACATCCGCTTTGTGCACATGTAGTGAAATCTTAGCTCCACTCAAGTCAACATCAAAATTACCATTGATCTCAAGTAAAATCACTGAAGTGATCCAATGAGAGCTGAGAATCCAGTCCAAAACCTCTACTTCAAGAAGGTAAGACAATTTTCTTACACTATTACAGCAAAGGGGTGCGAGTCCCTCTTCATTTCTCACATGAAACTGAGGAACTGCTCAGCAGGCTACCTCCAGACAGGGGGGTTTCTGAGCACCCCCGAGCTGGGAGAAACACATGGGAAACCTGTGGCTGTTAAAGCTGTGGCCTGCTCTGGCACCAGACTCTCCTGCCCATTCCAGGGAACGAGAAAAGCGTGTTCTGCTGTTCATCCCTCTGCGGTCCCCCATCCGGTCTCCCATTCCTCTGCGTGAGCTGGCTGACAGCAGGAGAGGCAGCTACAGTGCAGTGCGGAAAGGATGCCTCTTCCAAAATACTTGGCTTCCAAGAAGTATTTGAGAAATGATTCAGCTGAAAAATATCACTAGCATCTGATCTGGGAACTTAACAGACTGCTTCAGACAGCAAACATCAGTGTATCCCTTCTTGTTATGACCACCCCTGGAGACGCACAGCTTTCTAAGCCCATCATTTAACTGCCGATGAGAACCACTGACAGAAAACAATCAACTGCATTTTGATAGAAATATAAATTAGCCTGTACTACATACTCATTTCATTTGTTTCATGCTCATAAAAGTCTGACTATGCAGCAGGCTGTGCAGCTGAACAGAGAAGATATGACTCACTCCTGTAGCTGCATGAGCTGCCCAGGCCTCTTGTCTGTTTGTGCAGACGTGTGGTAGAAGTGGGTGAGTAGGTGAAGACAGGGAACAGTGACAGCCCCACCGCCTCCAAACCTTGCCCCGACCACAACAGCCCCTCTCTACCAGAATTTAGCTCTTGATTACCTGAAGCACAAGCCCTGGTTAAAAGCGTGCAGCAGTGCCCAGGAAACAAACATTCAGAGCGAGATCACTGCATCCTGTTCTCGCTCTGAAGAACATCTGATGTCACAGAGGATGCCGAACTGCATCTGAGATGTTAGTGGGAAGGATAAAACTTTTAAAATCAC